TCAGGGCCCAAAGTGAGCTGGAGTCTTTGGGGTGGATCCTACAGCCTTGTTGTCAGGCAAGGGGAGTAAACAAACAAACAAAAAGTAGCAGACAGGTTGGGCAGTGGTGCACGCCTTTAATCCCAGCATTTAGGAGGCAGAGTCAGGTGGATCTCTGTGAGTTTGAGGCCAGCCTCATCTGAAGAGCTAGTTCCAGGACAGACTCCAAAGCTACAGAGAAACCCTGTCTCAAAAAACCAGAGAAAAACATAAACAAACAAAAAAAATCCCCAAATAGCAGGCAGAAGAGAGCCTTGGCCTCTGTACTTGTGCCGCTGGAATTCCTGGAGTTTGGGTGAATGTGGCAATGAGGGTTCTCGTCTGTTCTCACTTCACCCAGCACTAGCTAGTTTCCCCTTTAGATATGGGGGTTCCCATGGACTTGCTCTGCTTTCTGGAGAATTCCGGGACTAAGGACAGAGTTCGGTAAATTGGTTTATTCCTGAAAGTGAACAAAATCAGCCAAAGGGAGAGGTGTGTGGATGGAGGGGTGAGTGGGTCCTAATGGGAAGACTCATTTGTCCTTGGGGCTGCTCTCCTGGCACTGGGTTTGTGACAGTATGTCCTCACAGGTTTGAGTCAGGCACACGCCAGTCAAGTTTGGTGCTTATTTTAACCGAGTCCTAGTAGGACACTGACACAGGTGGTTGAATCATCGCACTGATGGTTGAACTCGGCCTCTGGTCCTCTGCCCCACCCCACCCTCCGGGGCTTAGGCTGGTCAGAGCTTCAACTCTCAGCACCTGACTGATCTTTTTGGCCAGGCTTCTCCATCTTACTCCAGGTGAACACAAACTATCAGGAGTGTTCTGAGGACCCTTTGTGAGTAGCAGAGATGCCCTGGCCACTTGGCTAGTTCCTCCAGGAACTGGGGACAAAGACAAATGCAGGACTGGTGACCTTCTTATCTGGAGATCACAAGAGTTTTCCAAAGATCCATTGTAAATGTTCCTTAATAGATGTCAGAGTGCAGTGACTTCCTTTTCTCTCCTCATTGGAGGTGGGGAAGCAAGGGAGGTAGAGTGTGTTATGGATGAGCTTCTTTGGCCTTGAAGCTGCTGTGCATTGGGTCAGAAACAGCAAGGCCTGAGGCCTTTGGTCCTTCTGGGTCCCTGCTCAGAGAGAAGCATTGTTTCCTACCTCCTCTTTCTGTGTGTCCAGGTCCACGAAGATCTACACTCCAGGTCGGAAGGAGCAGGGGGAGCCCATGACACCTCGCCGCACACCAGCCCGCTTTGGACTGTGAGCTGAGGCTGTCGCAGGAGAGGCCGGCAGCCAGGTACTGAGCTCTAAGCTCTCCAGCCACAGTGCCCTATGGACACAGACAGGACACGGCTTTCATCAGTGTGCTCCTCTAGTCTGGGGCGGCTCCTGCTGAGTCAGGCTTGCAGCGGGGAAGAGACGCACCTGATGCAGGGCTGCGCAGGAACAGACTGCAGAGCGAATAAGCGGCTGCTTGAGCACCAGGTGGCTGGGCCACACGTCCACAGAGCCTGTCCCCAGGACACTTGGCTTATGAGCGACTTGCTGGGACTGAATCTTTTTTAATCCTTGTGTAAAGTAGCAAATAGAGGCGGAGGCACTTGTAATTTGGTTATCACCAGGGATTTGGAAATAAATATATTATTTGTAAAATGTGATTGCACTTTTAATTTCCTTTCTCTTTCCCTGCTCTTATCCCTACAATAGGGACAGGAGAGGCAGATCCCTTGTCCTTTCTGTCCTTGAATAGATCTTTCTAGAACCTTAGCTCTGCTCTCTGTACATTTTGCTACTGGGGAGGCTTTCCTGGGGGCATGTATGTACACATGTTTATGTACTTAATGTGCATATATGTGCAAGCGTGCATGCCCATGGGCGTATGTGAGGAGGCCAGAGATGTTCAGTATCTTATTTTTTCATGGATGCTGGGGATCTCAACCCATGTCTTCATTCTCATGTGGTGAACACTTCACTACCGAGCCACCTTCTTAGCCTTTAGGCAGAGATTCATAGAGGAGGCGTTGACTGAATGGGACCCAGCTTAGGTGTAGGAACTTGAGGGTGGCTTAGGGCATCCAGCACAGGACAGGCCAAACTCTGAATACCAGCTGGTTCTGAGGCTGGGAGGCAATGGTGAGGCCTTGCTGACCTACTAAAGGGAGGGAGGGGAACAGGAGCTTGGTTTAGCCTTTCCAGGGTGGTGGTGGTGGGGGGCGGCTTCTTTAAAGAGGTGCATGCTGTTTAGAGGCTTCCTCCTGCTTGCTTGGGAAATCTAGTCTTGACCTGAGTGGGAGTCCAGAAGAAGGTGGCTCAGTAGGGGATCCATTTACAGGTTCAGGATATACAGTGGTATAGGGAGAGTGGAGTCTAACTGATAAGGTTTATGACTGATAAGCTGAGATTGTGGACACAAAGCCCCTTACGTGCTCCTTTACATGAGAGAAACGGAATGTTATGAAAACTATGGGTCTGATGCAGCTTAATTTAAAAGTAAGGAACACCGGCCAAGGACCCAGGTGCCACAAGCAGCATAGATAGCCGCCTGCTCCCGCAGGTCTGCCTCCCGCAGGTCTGCCTGACTATATTCCCAGCGTAGGGTTTCCCACACATAAAATACGGTCTGTGAACAGAGGGTAATTAGTAGTCAGTTCTCTCCGTTTCCCTTACTGAGGCAGGGTCTCACTTGTCCTGCCATGCTGTGTGGCCAGGCTGGCCCCTGAGCTTCCTGGTGAGCCTTTGTCCGCCTTTCATCATGCTGTGGGAATGCTGGGATTCCATGTAGCTGCCTTCACATCCAGCATTTTTACGTCGGTTCCAGGAATGGAATCCAGGTATCCAGGTTTGCTCAGCAAGCACGGTAACCTGCTCTGTTAGTTGCTGTTGGGTTGCTGTGACTAAAAGGCCATTACCAAGGCAATGTCAAGAAGAGTTTGTTTGAGGGATCAAAGACCATCATAGGCGGAAGTATAGCAGCACGTGGTAGGCATGGTGACGGGAGCAGGAAGTTGAGGTCATGTCTTTAAATGTAAGCCAGAAGTAGAGCAAGCAGGAAGCGGGATGAGGTTATTAATTCTCAGAACCCACCCCCAAGTGACACACTTTCCTCCAGCAAGGCGGCACTTCATAGACTTCTCCAAACAGTGCCAGCAATTAGGGACAGATTGTTCAAATATCTGGGTCTATGGGGGACAGTCTTATTTAAACCGCTACACCTGCTGAGCCATCTTGCCAGCTCCCCTCTCTAATCTGGGTGTCTTATTTCTTTTTCCCACCTAAACCCTCTGGCTCTAATTACTAGAACCGTGTTAAATACAAGAGGCACAAGAGGGCATCCTTGTTCTCAGTCTCAAGAAAACCCCTTGGCTTTGGCCGCCAAGCTGTGGGTTTACAAAATCTGTTTCCGCCACCATTTCTTTTCCGTAGCAGATTCTGAGTGGTTTTGTAGAGACTGACTTCTTTGGTTATTTCTTTTTTTTTCTTTTTTTAAAGATTTATTTATTTATTATGTATGCAGTATTCTCGGTATTTGGTCTGCATGTATGCCTGCAGGCCAGAAGAGGGCACCAGATCTCATTACAGATGGTTGTGAGCCACCATGCGATTGCTGGGAATTGAACTCAGGACCTCTGGAAGAGCAGACGGTGCTCTTAACCACTGAGTCATCTCTCCAGCCCTCTGGTTATTTCTTAAGGGACACTTAGCGTCCTTGTCTTTCTCTGGCATTCTCTAAGTCTCTTCTCTCTGCCTCGACAGATCTTCTGCCTGCCTGAGCTTTCACAGCAAGGCGACTGGGTACAATAGTAAGAATGTTTCTATCTCCTTGCTTCTCATAATGCACCCCTGCTTTGATCTGATATAATCACCCCTGCAGAGAGTGAGAGATGGCTTTGAATCACTATGTGACATTCCCAGTATCCAGAGGTTGCAATTTTGACTGACGTATATGAACTCTGTTCTTGAAATATGGAGATAAGGCCATCGTTTTAGTAGACCGGACTGTGGACTTTCAGGTGCTACCAACCTGATATCAAGCTATTCTTTTTGCTTTTTTTTTTTTGGTTTTTCACAGAGATCCGCCTGCCTCTGCCTATTCAGTGCTGGGATTAAAGGCGTGTGCCACCACTGCCCAGCTGATACCAAGCTATTCTAAGCCCCAAGTTGGGGACAAAGTCAGAAGACCTTTAGCAGATGGACATTAAACACCACAGGAGATGTTCCCAGAGCTTTTCAGTACCCGTTTCTCTCTGCACACAGGCGCTTAACTCTCCTGCATCCTGGCAAGGCTGAAACATCATGAGTTGTGCGTTTTCTTGGCCTTGGTTTGGCCGAGAGGGAGGCAAGAGTGTCAGAGAGCCATTGCCCGCCAGTGTGCCTCTTCCCTCTTCCCACCTTCTCAGAAGTGCAAGCTCTTCCCTGTCTTCCTCTTATTTTACCCTGGTAGCTATTTGTCTCTATTTCCTATAGACTGAAATATAAATTCCAGACATGTGCTCCGCTTAACAAAATCCTACCACAATAAAGTGGTTTAGCTGTCCTTGGAGTTTGTTATAATGGAATTTTCCTTGTATTGCCCTGGCTGGGGAGAAAAGTAAACTTGTTAAAAGGAGGAATGTAATATGGCAGCCAGGAGGAAGCAGATGGTGTGCCCGCCCTTCCCCACTTGGAAAAGCGCATCTCTTATTTCTTGCACTTTCTTTTGGGTCCTAGCATTGTTTTCCTTTTTGGGGGAAAAAAGGTTTCTAGGTTTTGTTTTGTTTTGTTTTGTTTTTTTTTAAATTCCAGACAGACATTAAAGGGCGGGGGGCTAATTCCTTCTTGTTGGTTTAAAAACCTAGTCCAAGTAACCCAAAGGCTGGCTTTGCTACCCTTTCTCCTACAGAAGAAGTAAGGGGATCAGAACGTTTAGGCATCTGGCGAACACAGACATGAGCAGGTTGCTGGGGATGGGCTGTGCAGAGACACCAGGAACTCACGGAAGCTGTGTGGTCTGGGTCTTTATTTCAGAGTCAGGGCTTGGAGGTGGGAGTGGGGTATCAGAACTCACTCCACTTCAGGAAGTAGACAAACTCAGTAAAGCAATAACATCTTGTAAACCATACAGGGGCCTTGGTGGATGACTGTAGGAGCTGATACCGGTCAAGAAGGAGGGGCGGGAACTCGCTGTCCTCTGCCAATGTGTAGGGATGGGGCTGAGGGTGAGGAGCTGAGTCTAGCAGTATGAGGAGCCTGGGGGAACAGGGAAGAAACGAAAGCTTTAGTTTGAGGAGAAGTGAACGAGGGACTTCTTGAGGACCAGCGTCATGGCTGGACCAGTGTCAAGGCCAGATAGCTCTGTTGTAGGGCGACAGCCCCCTTCTGGGGTTTCGTGGGATAAAGAGGTGGTAGGGACAGTAGGCATCGGTCTGCACCGAGTGGCGGGCTGGGATACTCAGTCTGTGAGGTGTCCAGCCACATAACAGAAGGAAGAAGTCTATTCTCCCCTTCCCTCTTTTCCCTTCACCCCGCAATGGAACTGAGTCAGGAGGGGACAGATCTGTGATGTGAGGTACTGGGGGATCACCAAAATTCTCAGATCTGAGGGATGGTAACTTGTCTCCTTCATCTGTAGGTGTGGAAGGAATGATCACTATGAACGAAGGTCTCTAGTAATCTGTTTTTTCCCTGTATGAATTCTAATCCAGTGTATCTTTGGAGAATGATGTCACACTCTTGCTGTTCTGGTTTAGGGCTCAAAGAAAGGAGGCATCACAGCGGCACACGTACCCGAGCAGTGGGGCATCCCTATGTACTTGGTGATGTCCGTTTTCGGCGTCACGTCCTGGGCTATTCCTCTCCAGCCCAGTGGGTTGCAAATTTTCCCCTTTAGGGAAGGTTCCAGTTTGCAGGGGCCGAGGGCTTTGGCGCAGATCCTCGCGTTCCCAGTCTTTAACTTCTTCTCTTCTATCTCATTCTTCAGCCTTTTGTTTTCCTGCTGCAGATGGACCATTACATTGTGGAGATGGCTGTGGGAAGGAGAAGAACGTGAGCAGGGGCAGGTGGCTGTTTGGTCTGTTTGCAATGCTTGGCTCCTCGCTCAAAAGAACCCGGAGGTGTCACAGGAGAGGGCTGCGGATTCTCACGTTTACCCTGTGCAAATGGAGGTTAGCCCATCTGAGTCCCATGGAAGCAGCTCAGGCCTGGGGGTGAGGAAGACCTAGGAAGAGGGCCCACTCTGTCCGTTCTGGGCCTTTGTCTATGTTTTTGATGGGGACATTAAACCTGCCTTGTCTGGGGTTCATGGAAGGATTCAGTTTGATAAACAACGGAAATCTGATAGACGAACCAGAAAGTTCTGACTGTGTATGCTCATAGCTTTGTCTGGGAAATGCACTCAGCCAAAGCTAGCACCGTAATTCTCTCTGCTCCCCTTTCTGAAGAGTAGGGAGTACAGGAGAACATGGCCAATTTTTTTTTTCTTCCCATTTTACAGATGAATGAGTGGAGGCAGGGGTATAGGGCAGAGGAAAGATAATTTAGTGTCTTCTCATGGCTCAATAGTTGGCAGCTATTATCAACCTACGGATTTCTCCTAACAAGTCTTGAGAGCAGCGGATAATGGAAGACTCTATGGGGACAGGGGAAGACACTCAGCCTCCTGGACCATTTCTCTCCTCCTACAAATGCCCCTGTCACCACAGAGAGACCCTGGCTTGAGGTTTCAACTCAGAATAGTTTTGGCTTCATAACAGTGTGAAAATGATATACATTCAATAGGAAAGTGTACTTTGAATTTGGACTTTTTTCTCAGACAGGCAAGATGTGGCCTAGGCTTCTTGGGAGATGCTGGGAAGTAGTCATGACTGCAGCTTCCAGTTAGCCACAGCCACTGTTCTACAGGCCAACGTGGGACTAAGCTGCTACACACAGTAAATTATGAGCAGTAAACACACGTTTGGCCAGATAATATTTCCAACTTCCAATGGATTTATCCAGACATGGCCTCACCTTAAGTCAAGGAGAGCCTGTATTCTCAGCTCATCAGGTCTCAGGAAGATGAAATAAGTCAATGTGTGCAGGACACTTAAAACTCTGCTTCCCACATGCTGAATAACAATTATTAGTTGGGCTAATATTATTATTTATTATTAAAAGATGGTTTTCCTCAGATAAGACCAAGGAAGTTCAAGGATGAGCATCTGGTGAGACGGCTCTTTCTGGAACTTGGTAGAATATAAGGAAAAGCCTGGAGTTATCTGTTTCTTTATAATTTTTTTGGCTGTCCTAGGGATTGAGCCTAGGGCCTTGCTCAAACCATGCAAGTATTCCACCACTGGACTATATCCCTAACCTTTTTCTTTCAATTTACGTTTTTTGAGACAGGGTCTCATTAAATTGCCCAGGCTGGCCTTGAACTTATGGTGGCCTGTGCTACTGGGTATGGGCTTTCAAGGTTATGACAAGTGTCTTTTTTTTAAAGTTAATTATTTTCATAGAATGTTTTTTCCATTAGAAACTATCATGATCCTTTTTTTGGAAGCAATCACGTGACAGGATGGATCCTCAGCCTCTTCTGGTCACATCCTTTACCCACATGTTCTCTGAAGATCCGGCCTCTCCTCCTGTGGCCCCCAGTCCACGTGCCTCTGGGCTGGAGGCCAGGTCTGCTGTGACCCCCATTCCCTGGTTCTCTGTCTCTGTCTATGTCAGCGTATCTCCCATCTTGTACATCCCACACAGCCCAGCCTACTCCGGGTCTGGGTTTCTTGTTCTCCAAGTCACAGTTCTGTTTGCCCCTTCCACTCCTGATCCAGCTGAAGGTCAAAGCTCAGGACAGAGCTCACTCCCGGGAGCCACACATGGATGCCAGGCGTGCAGAGACACTGCATCCTCAGTCTTCTCAGCAGAGTTTGAGGCCACGGCTGCTTGGCCAATGTTATCACAAGCAAGCCCTCTCCAGGCCCTCCTAGAATGCCAAACTTGGCAGCTTCTGTGTCTCTGGAAAAAGCTTGGGGAAACACTGTCCTAGTCCCTGGCTAGAAGATTCTACCTTTAGACAGCCCTTTCTTCACCTCTGTTCTCTGACCTCCTGTAGTCCCAGGCCTCATTCTCAGTGGGCAGACCTTTGACCAGGCGGCGAAGCAGGATCACGAGGGAGAGTGGAGCCCTTCAGGACAGGAGCCCCAGGTTCCTGGGGACCAGGTGAAGTTTCATCCCCTCACTGGGGAGCTGTTGAGGGAGAGAATGACGGCCCAGCGCAGTCACGTGACATGCCAGTGCTGCGTAGGAACTGTTTCAGGTCTCAGGGTCCTTCCAGATCGTTCCTGTTGTTCTGGGGGCTAGTCCCCATACAGAATGTAAATTGGCCAGGGGTGGTCCCAAGAGTCAATAATACAGGGAGGAGACAACTTACTCCTTTTCTCCGGTCAGCTTGGCGATGTATTTGACCTGTTCTCGCAGCTTGTTTCCCAGTTTCTCATTGGCAATCCTGTAATAAAACACAGGGGAAGAATGGCTCTTCCCTAGATGGGTGAGAAGTCGACCGATGGGCACCGCTTCTTCCCAGCAGGGTTTCTGTTTGTTCCTTGGCCCCCATCACTTTGTTCCTGAGTGAGAGCCTTGTGAGTCCTTGACAGTTGAAGACTCCCATTCAGACGATCGCATACATTTTTAAAGGGATGGGTTCAAGGCATCCACGTGAGGCTGGATCCCAGCTTGGGTAGAAGAAGCGTATAGTGAAATACGCCTTGCCTCTGATGTGGCTCTGTCCCTGTGTGGCAGGCTTTGCAAACCTTCCAGGAGGGGTGAGACCCCTCTGATTCCCAACCCTTGTGTGTGGGTGAGTTCTTGGGCAGACATGCATGGTTTAGTCACTGTGGTTCTCAGTTCAGCCCAACCTGGGGACCCGCCCTACTTTTGTTGGCAACACTTACTTCTGTTCCTTTGCCCACTGTTCCATGTTGCACATAATCTGGTCATTGTCCCGGTGGTGCCTGCAGGGGTCTTTGGTTGTCCTCGGGGACAGGCAGCATGGCTTGGCATACAAGAAGGAAATCAGACTGTAAGGGATGGGGACACCGATGGCCACCTCCCTCCCCCAAGTCTGGATTCTTCTTTCTGAGAGAAAAAACAAACCCAACTCTGCTGCCCAACCTGAGGCCAGAGTTGCCAGGTGCAGGACCTTCCTTCCACATGATGGTGACACGCCTGAGGGGCGCCATTCATCACAGACACACGCTCACCGTGGCAGTTCTCAGACTAATGGCAGCGAAGTGACTGTTTTAAAACAGTATTCTGAGCTGATGTCACCACAATCGGGGGGGAAAAAGAGGTGTTTCTTTTTAATTTGAACAAGGGCCCTGTGGTCACCCTAAGATGTCTCAAGCCTTCATGGCATGAATGGCACTTATTGGGATGCTGGAAGTGGGGGCATATCTCAAAGACTGCTTAACACCTTGGATGACGAAACCAGGCAGGATGTGCCCAGGAGAGGGAGGGCTAGGGCTTGTGAGTGGCAGCTGATGGACCTGAGTTTTGCTGAGAGTCTTGGTCAATATCTATCAACAAAACTACAGGAAAATAAGTGAGTTGAGAGGTGGCTGGAAGTATCCAGAATCTGCTTCCTGCAAAATAGTGTGTGTGTGTGTGTGTGTGTGTGTGTGTGTCTTCCTTGTTCCTGGCATCCCCAATGACTCCCCAGTCTGGAGGTGTGGAGAGCAAGTGACAGAGTCCAAACAGTGCCCACCTCCTTCTCATCCGCAAGGAGGCTCTCTTTCAGGGTAGCCATTTCTTCCTGGAATTCCCGGAGCTGCGTCTCCTTAGCGGCCAGCATCTTGAGGTCACTCTGATGCTGCTTCTGCCACTGCAACACCTGGTTGCTCATCTCTTCCAGTTTCTTATCAAAGGTGTGCACCTGCCAGGGAGTGCAAAGTGAGGAAATGGGCAGGGGCGGGCCCAGGCAAGGTGGAGGGTACTCTCTCCACTGTGGAGTGTCTGTGCCTTTTATTTCCAGTGACCAGCAGAGGGCGCCCCTGCTCCGACCTTCTGGCCTGCCTGTCATTCCAGAAGCTGAGGTGGAGTGAACCTGGCCAAAGGGTATGGTTGACCGCTAAATAATTCTGCGTGCCAAAGGTGACCTTGTGGACCTCTGAGAGGAAGACAGCCTGAGCCCCCAGCCTCTCACCTCTAGCTCACTCTGCTGGTGGAAGCCTTGTAGCTTTTTTAACTCCACGTTGAGTTTTTTCATCCTTTCCTCATAAGCTAGGATTTCATCTTCCAGCTGCGCCTTCCTCTCTTGGGTCTGTTGCAAGCTGCGCTGCAGGCTCTTTGTCTCGGAGGTCGCATGAGTGAGCTTCCGGCAAAGACAGAGTGCATTAGAGTGGCCACCAGGGCCCTTGACCTTCTCTGCCAAGTCTTTAGTGCAGAAGGTTCCAGGCCCTCCCCTGTCCTCCGCCCATGGTGGTACTGATGTTCCAAAGGGGCAGGGAGAGACAGAGGTTGGCTTTCAGCACCACCCTCCTGGGTTTTTATTCCCCTCTTCCATTTCCTTTCTTTCTACACATATCCACTGATCTGCAGAGGATGCATGAATTTCCCTGACAACCCAGGCTTTGGGACAAACCCTGTCCCTGAAGAGTTGTTGCCACCTCTGCCACCTCACAACAAATCCAAGGACAGCCGCATACAAAGCAAAGAGGGCGGAGGTCTTTGTTGTGCAGACACCCCTATCTAGGCAAGGGTTGAGAAGCCCTGAGGATTGTCAGTCTTGTAAGGAATTGGCTTCTGCCCACTCAGAGTCCCTGAATTTCTTTGACTACTTCCTGGGTGAAGAGCAGGTGTGGCCTCACCTTCTCCAGGGCTTGCGTCAGGTCGTCTTGGCAGACGCCCGACTTCCGCAAAACCTCTTCGTAGGTTTCTTTGCTGACCATGCTCTGAAGGAAGTTCTTCTCTTTCTGGATAGCTGAGTCCAGCTGCGTCTGCAGAATCATGATGGAGTCTTTCTGGCGGGCTATCTTTAGGGAGCAAGAACATTGCTGTCAAGGCTGTTCCCGGGCACAGATGTGCGGCTGCAGGAAGGAGACAGGAGCCTACTCTCTGCCACAAGCGCCTGGGTATCTGTGCTTATGCTCCTGTCTTCATCTCACTGTTAGGAAATGCAGAGCTCTTCCTGAGCATCCCTGTATCTTTCCAGCCAGGTTTCCCTTCTGGGTACCGTGTCTCCAATAGAAGCAGCACTGGGACATGCTAACTTCACGGAATATGTCTCACGGATACAAAGATGTCAGTCTGGGCTAGGGAGGTAGCCCAGTCCACACAGTGCTTGTGAGAACTTGAGTTAGGTTCCTAGAACCTACTTTAAAAAGATGAGTCTCGGGGCTGGAGAGATGGCTCAGTGGTTTAGAGAACTGGCTGCTCTTTCGGGAGACCTGGGTTCAATTCCCATGACTCACATGGTCATCTATAACCATCTGTAACTCCAGTTCTGGGAGATCTGCTACCCTCTTCTGGCCTCCACAGGCATTGCATACATGTGGTACATGTAGGTAAACCATACATGTACATAGGCTTTAAAAAAAAAAAAGATGCTGGGCATGGCAGCGTGCTCTTACAATGAATCCCAGTGCTGGGGAGGTAGAGACAGGTGCATCTCCGGGACTCAAAGCAGACTAGCCTATTTGGTGATCTCTAAACCACTGGGGGACCCTGTCTCAGAAAGAGAAATAGAGACAGACGACCCCTGAGAAACTACAGCTGGAAGCTGTCCTTTGGTCTCTACATGCACGCATCCCCATGTCCATGGACACACGTGTGCACCTGTACACATGCTAGAACACAACACCAGGCTGATGGATACGACACAGCATGTCTCTTACCCGGCCCTGTACGTGCTCTACAGAGGACGCCACCTCTTCCTCCTGTTGCTGTCCCATTGGGCACAGCACACAACAACCACACAACAGTCATAGAAGAAATGTTAAGCTGTTGGTGGAATGTAAAGTTACATTGTCTAGTTAGAGATTCAAATATTGTGTGGTTCAAGGGGCTCTGCTGCACACAACTCTGGCAGCAGTGTGCTTAAAACAACTCTGCATCTTAGCCTTGGCAGTGAGCGTACTGGGGTGGTTAAAGGCAATGGAGACGCGGCGTCACAAATCCAGCTTGAGGTCCAGGGTCTGACACTTATTTCTGGGCCTCAGGCCTTTCTCCACAGACCGGGAACCTTTGTGGCTCTTTCACACCGTGTTGGCGATGGCCAAATGAGATGATGCCTGTAGAAAGGCTTTGCGGTGGGTGCCTCCGTATGGTTGGGAATCATTAAGAGTAAAATGAGGCATCTCCTTGTAGGTCTGAGGTCTGGGACAGAGATCTGTTTCTAAGTCTGGAAGCAGAGGGAAAACCTTCAAAAGGTGTAGCCACTAAGCCATCCTCGATTCCTTGCTTTTTTCCCACAGTCAGTACTTCAGCTAGTCTTCCCAGAGACAACCCAATAACCTGCACATCCTCCCAACTGCTCTCCTCACATCTACGCTTACCCCTCTCCCAGCCCATGTCCACACACTAGTCAGAGTCTCATGTGTCTTGTCTCTGAGGAAATTCTGTCAATAGCCTTTCACTGTTCTTTAAATACAACTCAATTTTAACAGAGGCCGTGAAGTCTTCCTCTTGTTATCTCTCCAGCCTTATCCTATACCAATGGTTTTTATCAATAGATTCCAGTTGCACTGGTTTGATTTCACTCCCGAGAAAGATGGTATTATTATTTTAACAGAAAAAAAACCCCTAGGCACCTGTCAGAATTCAACACCCTGTACTGAACTGACAAACCTCTTAGTACCTGAGAAACTGAAGGGACTAGAGATAGAGGTAGCAAGAAGCCCAGAGGGCACATGGTACTGAGGCAGATGCTTTACATTAACAGTAAAGAACAAGATGTCTACGACCACAGCTGTCCATCATCATACTGGAGATACTGTCCAATGTGACAAGGCAAGAAAAATAAAACAAGGATAGATATTACAAAGAAACATTTAGGAACCTTTTTATTTACAAATGATTTATCTACTAAAAGTAACCCATAAACTCCAGGAGTCTGAGGATCGTCTGCACTGTACAGTGAGACCCTGACTCAAAGTTCGCAAGACCAGCATGTAAAAGGCCTGGGGCTTGATCCCTAACACTGAATACACACACATACACAAACACACACTTTGTGAAAATAAACTGAGAGACTATTACAACTTATAAGTAAAATTACTAAGATGTTCAAACAGAAAATTAACATATTCAAGTGGATGAGGTTCTGCATTAATATTAAAATAATAAAATACAGTGGGAACATGATATAATCAAATAAATGGAAAAGTTTTCAATGTATTTCCTTATTTTCAAAAAGCAAACAATTGAAAATAAAATATGGAATATTGGTCAGAGGAAGCACATGTTCAGAAAGCAAACCTCAGCCTTTTTCTAATAACTGTTTCAATTGATTCAGTGGATCTACCATGTGTATGGGAAATGCTTTTTAAAAAGTTGAACATTAAAAAGTTGAATATGTTTATACTCCAAAAAACACCAAACCCCTCTTCTTATCTAAGCAAAGGAATTCCAGTATTGGTGCTCTTGCTTTCAAATCTACATGGCTAATTTTTGCCACCAGGCTCATACAGAACATTTAACAGCATTCCTTAGATGGACGGAGGGTTCTCAGGGAGCGGAATGACTGAGACCTCACGATTCACCACTCCAGGGGACAAAACTCCGAGAAGGCCAGTTCTCGAGACCTGTGCCGTCTGAACTTAAAATTAGTCAATATTAATTAAAAGTACAAAGTCAGTTCCTCGGCTCTTAGTGGCAAGATGTACCTAGTGGTCAGCTCAGACTTGTCACTTTTCTGCCACCACAGCGAGGCACAGAGTGCTGTTGGGAAATTCATCTTAAGCTTTGAATAGTCATAGGATTTCAGATCTTTTTGTATTACGAAAGATTAAGGGATGCCTGGGTTTTCATTTGTAGCTCAAGAGACTTGTCTTCTAAGCACTATATATATATATTTTTTCTTGTCCAGAAAGGTATAATATATTCCACTGGGGACCGCGTCACGGTTTGTGTTGGAAAAAAAAGGACAGGCTTTAGAGTTGGATGATCCAGGTTCAAACACTGGTTCGTCCCACCGCTTACTAATTAGTGGCCCTGGGATTCGGCCTTTCTTCCCTTTGTAAGTGGGGGATCACAGGGATGTGTACTTTGTTAAGAGTTAAGCAGAAGGAGGGTCTGTAAAGAGAATGGCTGAACTCAAGAGGGGTTCCTAGAATGTCACAGCCCTGCGACTTTCATCTGCATAATGATGGACCCAAATGACCCTCTCCAAGCACCTTTTGTGACTTGTGATTAGTTTTGAGAATATTCCCTCTCAAGTGACTCCTAACAATTAATTCACTCAATTCTTTGTCTAATTTCTAATGCTGAAAGACTTGGCGAACGAAACGAAGCCTGTTACTTAAGGAAGAAAACGTTTTCCCCCTCCGGGTCTGTAGCCATCTCCCACCCATTACAGGACAGAGCCAAGCTGAGCTGCCGGGGCCTCAGGCAAGCATAGGCAGCCAAGGCTGAGGTGCAAAGTCGGGCGTCCCCTCTTTGGGGTTGCTGTCTACTCACCTCTGCGTTGAGCTCCTGGATGACCTTCTGGGAGCTGTTGTACTTGTTGATGGAGGACTCCAGGTGTGAGGAGCAGGAACTGAGCTCCGTCTGCAGATTCTCCTTTTCTTCCTCCAGCTTCCTCAAGTGCTCTTTGGCCTGCTCTCCCATTAAACAGTGAAGCCCACCCCCACCGCCAGAGCGGGAGGTTAACCTGAGCCTCCTGTCCTTCCTGTCCCTCACCTCCTCTTCTCCTCTTCCTTCTCTTCCTCCTCCTTCTCTTCTTCTTCCTCCTCTTCCTCCTCCTCCTCCTCAGGCCTCTTCACCCTTCCCCTGTCTGTCTCCCTCCTCTCCCTCCTCTCCTGAGTCCCCAGGCTGCCCCGGATTCACAGCCTGGTCTTTCCAGGTTCCACCCTCTCACCATCTTTTCTTTCTTTTTTGCTTCCTGTCGCAGAGCCTCAATTTCTCCCTCCAGGGCCTTTTCTTGTTCCTTGCTCCTTTTCAGGTGTTCCCGTTTCTCCTCCAGCAACCCTTTTATCTCCTGAAGTTCCTCTTCCAGCTTGGTTTTGGTGTTTGTTAGCTCTCTTTGCTGAGGGGGGCGGGGGAGGAAAAAGGCCAGGCTGCAAGACAATCCTACCCTACTATACATGGGAAAAGAAATACAGACAGTTCTACCCGGGAAGGGTGGAAACAAACGTGAAGGTTATTTCTTAGCACCCCCGCCCCCCAGCACATTCGTTGGGAATGTTTGCTCTAATGCTCTATTTAATGCTTTGTTTAACTAAACCAATGTATGGACCCAGTTCCTATAGTGTCGACTTTCTTGCCCTCTAGGCCAGCTCTTCACATAAAAACCTCTTGGAATAAAGTAAATCTTAGAAGAACACTACAGGAATATGCGTGAGATCAAAGACTGTCAACTGATGGACAAGGACGGCCCCCCAGTGTTCAGAAGAAGAGCTGGGGACACAGCTCAGTGGGCAAGCATTGACTGCAAACAAAAGACTGTCAACTGATGGACAAGGACGGCCCCCCAGTGTTCAGAAGAAGAGCTGGGGACACAGCTCAGAGGGCAAGCATTGACTGCAAACAAACACATGAATGAGCCAACAGCGGTTTGAAGGAGAATGTCCCTCATAGGCTCCTACATTTGAACACCTGGTCCCCAGTAGTTGGCACTGTTTGGGGTGGGGTGGGGTTAGGAGGTGTGGCCTTGCTGAGGGGAGTCTGTCACTAGCCTGAGCTTTTAGAACTTAAGGCCTTGTCCTATTCCTGCTTTGTGCTTATGGTTCAAAAATATAACCTCACAGCATCCTGTTCTAGCCAGCATGTCTGCCAATTCCCGCCCCTGCCCCTATGATGGACTCAAACCCTCTGCAAGGTAAGCCCAAATCAACTCTTTCTTCTGTAAGTTTCCTTAGTTATGGTGTTTTATTAACAATAGAAAAGCAAGTAATACAAGGGCTAAGGGTTAAGCTTAACCCTTGAAAATGCTTATGACTGGTCATGGGAACTGGTCCTGAGTGGCTGGTGTAACAGTCTAACACAAGTTCTGGAAAGTTCATAAAGCCTGGCCTCCTTGGCCTCAGGCAGGCCAGATAGCGGTAGTAGCTGTCTGCCCGCTCTCTTACCTTTTGCTCGGCCATTTTGGTAGACTCCATCAAGTCGCTTCCTCTTCGTTCGCTCTCGTTTAGCGTCTTCTTGAGCAGCAGCCGCTCATTGTCGGAATTTGAAAGCCTCCGCTGGCTCTCGTAGAGTTCTGAGGTCAGCTCCTCTATCCGTTTCCTGAGCGGGGTGACCACAGGACCAGCTTCAGGGCCTGTGTTGATGGATTGCGGAGACGGTCCCTCCCTGGGGCCTGTCACGTCACTATCTCACTCTGGGCAGCTGCCAACCTGGGGTCCAGGGATGGGGCTGGGAGTACCTGTTGCCTACTCTCTCCTTTTCAGCTGCCACAGACTCCTCCTGCAGCTTCTCCAGCTGACCCTGCAGATCCTTGATGATATCTGCCTTCTTCTTGTCCAGGAGAAGGCAGCTCTCGATTTTCCGATGAGCATCTTCTAGGTTGCTTCCAGCCTGCTGTGCTTCCTCCTTACACTGGGCAAGGTTCTGATCTGAAGAAGCCAAGGAGGGTTCTGTGTGATAGGCAGCCCATGAGACTCTCAGTCAGGACTCACTAGAGACTAAGCCTTTTATTCTGTGACAGTCTTCCGTTCCTAGCCTGTCCTTGCCTCTCCCGATGCCATCACAGATCTGAAGGAGCTCTCTCTTTAACCGCCCTTCAGCCTTGGATTCCTTCCTGGCTAAAATTAAATAAATTGGTAGCAATCATTCAGCACCTCTGTCTAATTCTGTCATTAGGGACAAATCCCAGTCCTCAAGGAGTTTAGTCTGGCGAGCTCTATGATTAACCATCCATTATAAAGAACACTGAAATGTTATTGATTGATTTTATGTTTTGGTGCCGGGAACCAAGCAAAGGCAAAGCACATGTTCTACCACCAAGCTCCATTCTGGCCTGAGAATGCTGCAGTGCTGAGCTCACGCTGCCCACGAACTCAGCAGTGAGCTGTGGGTGGACTTGTGAAGAGGGAGAGGAGTTGACTCAGTCGTAGAAGGAGAAGGAATGTGTTTCTGGGAGGGCTTGTGGGGGGGGCATGGAGAGAGCATGGTGGGTGAAGGGTGGGAGGAGGCAAGCTGAGTTGGGATGGGAAGTGGGGAGATGGTAGGCTGCAGCTGAGCAAGAAGGTGGACCAGAGAGGGCTCAGAAGATTGACAGCCTGGGAGGAATGCTTAGACTTGAAGCAGTAAGTAGACACCCATGTAAGGGAAAGAGAACATTGGGAAGACTATGATCTACGATGCAGTTTGGGTATGGTGGTGTATTTTGGAGGCAGAAACAGGAAGTGCTCCAGGGGATCAACCTGGTGTATGTAGCAAGTTCCAGACCAGCTAGAGCTACACTGTGTCAAACAAACAAAAACAGGATGCATCCAATCAGAGACCACCTCCAGTGGTAGTCTTTCACCCCCCTGCCTCCACTGAGGGAAGATGCGCTGCTGTCTTCGGGGGTCGTTTTGGTGGGGTGTGTCTCCTCCCCCGACAGGTATCCTTTCAACTCTGTTTCTCATCCCTTCCTTGAAGTGTGCCATTTTGGTATACCGAAAGAAAGATAGCATCACGAGAGAAGTGATCATACACCAGACATTTTGTAAAAAAGGGAGACAGGGAGATTAAACACACACACACACACACACACACACACACACACACACACACACACAAGTACTTCCATTTGGGGAAAGCTAAGAGGATGATATGGAGGAATGAAGGAAAGCCGTCCTTCCAAGGAAGGACTGACCACAGCTGTGACGTTACCGAGGGGACTCTAAGGTAGCTACAGGAAGAGGCAGCTCACTGAGGAATGAGAACATAGGAGGGAGGGGAGGTGAGGGGACAGTGCTTGCCGGGTGGATGGCTGATCAGAGCCCGGAGGAAAGGAAACAACCGTGAGGTCTGCGTTGGACTGAGGGCCCACGTCTACAAAGCTGAGGACTCGGGGTAGGTGGCTAATGTTGTCAGGACAGGGCTGGGGGGAGAGGAGTCAAACTGCGGATCTTCTTATATTAACCTCTTTAGAGTGGCGAACGCAGTGGGTTTTAGTGAGCTCACGAAGCTGTGTAACTATCAACCAAGTTAAGGACGTTATTGTCATCCCTGAAGGAACCCTGCTGAACTCAAGGCGAGAAGAGATTGGTGAGCTGAGAAAGCCATCTCCTCGGAGAGGTGAGGACAAGTTCCCATCCCAGCACAGGCTACAGAACAGGCTGTGTTTGGAAGCAGAAAGGAGGGGATGGGATTGAAAACCAGGGAAGGAGAAACCATATGTGGGGTGAAGGGCCTGAAGAAGACAGAGTTAAAACGTGACTCCAGGAAGCCCCTCATGGGCCCCGTCCTCTCTGCTGTCCAGGTGGACTGGGGCATTCCTCTAAGGCGGCTGAGGGAATGCTGGGAGCAGGAGGCTGTTAGCAGGGTCTTCGGAGAGGCTGTGAGTTTGGAGGCTCAGGAGACTTGAGGGAACTGCTGGGATGAAGATGAAGTCAGGGGGTGTGGAGTAAGACCTCGGATGTGGCTCTTTGTGGAGACAGGGTTGGAAGTGTGGCGGGGCAAGCCCGATCTCACCTGCCAGCTTTAGTTGCTCTTTGGTCTCCTCAAGAGTGTCCTTCAGTTTCTGGACCTCGGCCCGCAGGGCCTCACAATCCACTTTGGACGTGCCCTGCTTTGCCTCTTGCAGGTTTGCCTCGAGGTCTTTCGTCGTGCGCTGCAGCTTCTCCAGCTCCGCCTCTTTCTCCATGAGGGTGTTCTGCGCATGTGCCAGTTTCTTCTCTAGCTCGTGCAGCCTCTCGTCCTTGTCTTGGAGCAACTGTGGGCGTCAGAGGAAGGGATGCTGGGAGAGGCCTAAGTGCCACAGCCGAGCCCCTGGCCTGCCCGGCTGGGAGAGCCCCATTCTACCTGTGCCCTTTGCACCCATGATGGGTTCCCTCAGGCTAGTCTCACCGCAGCAGCCAGAGAGGACCTTTCAGAGTGCAAGCCAGAGCTGTCTGAGTCCAAAACCCTCTGCTGGCTTTGGCCTTACTTAGCAAAAAGCTCAAGTCTTTACAGCCCCGTCTCAGGAGGCTCACGATCTGGTCCTACCTCAGCTACCTGCTTGGCCTGGTGTCCAGGAGCCCCGACCTGTCTCACTTCAGCTAGCTTCCCGCATCTGGAGGGTCTTGCTGTGCCCTCAGCCTGGACTGTTCTTCCTCAAGACCCCTGCCTTCAGCTCTCTCTGAGTGTTTGCCGTTAGACCGTGGGACCAGCCTGGCCATTCTCTCACTGCGTTCAAATCTCCGCCCAGGGTCACCTGATCAGGAAGGCCGTTCACACAGCCCAGTCACCAAGCTGTTTAAGGAATCTGTCATTTTCTGCTTCCATTCTATCAGGGTCACAGGTTACCCCCACCCCCGCGAGGATGGGGCTGCTGTGTGTTTTGTGGAATGTATCCTAATGCGTAGAACAATGATTGGCACATCGTTGGTACTCAAGAGTGCTGGATGAACACACCGAGGACAAAGCCGGGAGCCTGTGGAATCCTTGCTTTTTATTGCTCTGCTTTTCTTTTCTTTCTTTTTGGTTTTTCGAGATAGGGTTTCTCTGTGTAACAGCCCTGGCTGTCCTGGAACTTGCTTTGTAGACCAGGTTGGCCTCTCTCATTGAGATCTGTTTGCCTCTGCCTCCCAAGTGCTGGGATTCAAGAAGTGGAGCCACCACTGCCCAGGAATGCTCCACTTTTCTAGACGTTCTAATTTTATGCCTGGTGGGCTTCGGCCTGATTTTCAAACAAGAGATTTTAATGCCTGTAAACCAACTGTTTTATCTTTAGTAGTGCTGAGGAGGAGAGTACAGGGTTTGGATGGTGCTGCCCATAAAGGCTTACACTGGTTTGACCATCTTTCTGTTCTCGGCTCTGGTTCTAGGCTTTTCCAGGAACATGTCTATAATAGACCTCATGGGCTACGGCGTGGCTCCACTAACAGCCACAGTAGGCAGGGAAGCTCTTGTCCAGCCCCCCTTGGCTGTTCCAACTGAGCCCCAGGGAGCGCTAGCTCACCTTGTCCTTCTTCAGGGCCAGCTTCTGTGTCTCTGTATACTGCTGCTGCAGGTCCTGCAGCCGGTGCTGCAGGACGGCAGTCTCCTTGTCCTTCTTCTCGATGTGGGCTGATGCCTCCTCCCGCAGCCCGTGTAGCTCCAGCTCCAGCTTCATCATGTCTGACATGGGGAAGAAAACACCACTCAGCCTTCAGAGGCGGGGCGCCCTCCTGCTCTGCAGCCGTGGCTCGCAGCCCCCCTTTACCCTTCATGATGTTCTTCTTCTGCTCTGACACGGCTTCCAGCTCCATGCGCAGGTCCTTGACAAGGTTCTGGTACTCCTCCACGTGCAGACACTGGCTGTCTTTCTGCTCCTGCAGGTGCTTCAGGATCTGAGTGTTGGAAGGCAGAAGAGCAGGATGAGAGCACAAAGGAGCCTCCCTCCCTCCCTTCTTCCCTCCCTCCTTCCCTTCCCCCTCCCTCTCTCTCTCCTTCCCTTCCCCCTCCCTCTCTCCCTCCTTCCTTCCCTCCCTCCCTTTTTCCCTCCTTCCCTCCCTTCTTCCCTCCCTCCCTCCCTTCTTCCCTCCCTCCTTCCCTCCCCCCTCCCTTCTTCCCTCCTTCTCTCCATCCCTCCTTCACTCCTCCTTCCCTCTCTTCCTCCTTTCTTTCCTTCTTCCCTTCTTCCCTCCCTCTCTCTCTCCTTCCCTCCCTTCCTCTCTCCTCTTCTTGCTTCCCAGTTATTTACTATGCATGTATACATATATGCACATGGGTGTTTGCATATGTGTATGTGTGTCTGAGTTCGATTTTGGGTGTCTTCCTCAATCATTCTCCACCGTATTTTTTGAGGCAGGGTCTCTCACTGAACTTCACCCACTTGGCTAGACTGGTTTGCAGGATCAGCCTTTCCTAGCTCTGGGATCAGACATGTACCTCCATATCCCGTCATGTGAGTGCTAGGGATCAAACTCAGGGCCCCTCGCCAATATTCCTGTAAGGAACCTCAATCCAACTCATTGATTCACCAAGCTGGGCTTTGGTGGTGTCTGTATTTGGTCTGTCGTTGGTTCCCTATCTGGGGCGAGTAGATGTGTGTTGTGTCTCCACAGGAAAAGTCTTGTCACACAACAGAGAGTGTGGTCGAGCATGTGAACACCATCATTTAGACAAACAGTGACGGCATTCATACTTCCAAGGAAGATCTTCAAGGGTCAGTATCCATGCCACAGTCACCCGACTTTCTGGAAAGTCCCGAAGAGTCTGCCTGCCCACGTTAGAGGTCCCCTTGGAGAACTTAAGGTCTGTTTCTTCCTTTTTCGGCTCATTCTCTGTTCCTGCTACACACCTCCTCTCCAGGCAGACCCAGGCAGGCTCGCATTACCTTCTCCACAGTGTGCTATCTAGGCTGGTTGTCACAGGTTCAGGTTGAGGCATGACAGACTCAAGAGCTCGTCTGTGGGGCCTGTCTTTTGACTACCGGTTTACCAAAACCCGTTACTTGTTGACATGGCATATCTGCTTATTTATTATAAGAAACAACTTGAGACACCACTCTTAAAAATATTCTATGTGCATGCATGTGGGTTTGTGTGTGGGTAAGTGTTTGTGAGTGCCAATGCCCATGGAGGATGGGAGTTCCAGGTACTCTTAGAGCTGAAGTTACTGGAGGTTGTGAACTATGTGATATGAGTGCTGGGAACTACACTGAGGGCCTTTGCAACTTGGGTGCTTTTAACTGCTGAATCATTTCTCAAGGCCAAGTTTTGATACTGCTTCAAAGTTACAGAATTAAAAAAAAAAGAATGTGTTTGTACTGATGATTTCCGCCATGTTTGTTCTTTTCAACTCTAGACAGGTTATAGACGTTTGCAGAGTCTTTCCAAGTCTCTCAAGCCAACAGGAGTACTGTCTTGCTTGGATGTCACATTAGAAGTGGATGAGGAGGTGGATGAAGTTCCACACTCTATCTAATGCTGCCACAGTCTTTGGGGCTGGAGTACGCTATGCACAGTAGTATCCTTTAGCAAGGCTGGCTGAGGTCACACAAATACAGAACTCTTACACACTAGGGTCTCGAGATAAAAGTAATCATGGAAATCCAGAAGCAAGTTCCCTTCCTGTAACCCCACAGAGAAGCCAAGGCACGTCGTCACCTTTTTGATGTCCTCGCAGTCTTCTGAGGAGGTAGGGGGATGCCTGTGGGTGGCTGTGTAGGAAGCGAAGTCAGCTTGTAATTTTATCAAAGCCTCCTCACGCTCTAGAACCTGCAAGTGGTCATGGTCAGTCAGGGTGAGTGATCAATAACACACACACACACACACACACACACACACACACACACACTACTATTACTGTTTTAGTGGGTTTCTCTCTGCAGCATAGGCTGGTGGTATATTTCTATAATTCACTGTACCCTTCCCGCAGGTTGGGATGGAGAAGAAGGAACTGTGCTCTCAGGCTGTGTCAGGCTGTCTAAGGCAAATTTAGTTGACTCCCTTTTCCATGGCTTCACGGGGAGTCTGTTAGGATAATGTTCTTCTTCTTCCTTTTTTTTTTAAATGTATACAATATTCTGTCTGTGTGTATGTCTGCAGGCCAGAAGAGGGCACCAGATCTCATTACAGATGGTTGTGAGCCACCATGTGGTTGCTGGGAATTGAACTCAGGACCTTTGGAAGAGCAGGCAATTCTCTTAATCACTGAGCCATCTCTCCAACCCCCGATAATGTTCTAAAGAGAGACACATACTAGAGAGTTGCTGCAGGCCAGTTTATTCCGAAGCTCCTGGATGAGGTCATCCTGCTCAGAAACCTTTTGCCAAACTTCAGACAGTCGCTTTAGAGTCTCCTGATGCTCTTGAATCACGCATGGAGAAGTGTAGATGCGCACCTTCGAGTGGTCGCCCTTGTTCTCAGGCTCCTGGGATATTCAAAACGGATGAGTTGGTTTTGTTTGTACTTTGTGAGTCAACGTCAGAGTCTTACTAGACTCATGTTCTAAAAGTGTGTGTTCGCCTTCAGTTAGCAGGACGTCCTTAACAGAAGGAAAACATCAACCGGCACAGACACAAGATGAAGTCCCCGGTGGTTCTCAAGAGCATACACTCTGTACCCTTCATGACTCAGGTCCCTCTTCTGTGACACCCTGTGCTACCAGTGTTCTCAATAGCTGTGAAGTGGCATGCTAGGCAAACTTGTGTGTGTGTGTCTAACCCAACTTGTGTCCTTTTACATACGAGAGTGCGGCTGCACACATGGTAATGATTGTCCTCATTTGACCGTTTGTCAAGGATATTTTCTACAGTTATTTGTAGATCTCTCTCTCTCTCTCTCTCTCTCTCTCTCTCTCTCTCTCTCTCTCTGTGTGTGTGTGTGTGTGCTCATGGCTCATGTGTGTGTGGGAACCAGAGGACAATATTGGGTCTCTCCCTCAATCATTTCCTGGTTTATTTTTTTTTGAGACAGACTTTCCTATTGAACCTGGAACTCACTGATCTGGCCAGACTGGTTGACCAGCAAGCCTCAGGGATTCTTTTTTTTTTCTTTATTTCCTTGATGAGGGGTTTCCAAGAGTGCCTTCAAGCTTGACATTTTTTTGTTTTGTTTTGTTTTTTGTTTTTTTGAGACAGGGTTTCTCTGTAGCTTTGGAGCCTGTCCTGGAACTAGCCCTTGTAGACCAGGCTGGTCTCAAACTCACAGAGATCCGTCTGTCCCTGTCTCCCGAGTGCTGGGATTGAAGGCGTGTACCATTGCTGCCCGGCCAAGCTTGACATTTTTATGTGGCTCCCGAGACTCAAATCCTTGTCATTGTGCTTGTAGGGTAAACCTTTCCTGAGTTCTCTCCTCCTAGTCTATCTTATTCTCAGAATTAGTTTCAAATTACAGAAGTGTTTGTGTCTGTCATCTCTTTAAAAAAAACATTGTGACATTGTAGGCAAGTGTATATTTTTCTTTGACTACTACCTCTAGTCCTGTGCCCTCTCTTTATAGAGAGGACAAACAGTGCACACACTTCTAAAACATTATTTCTACACTTACATTATAAACAAATCTATAGGATAATGAGTTATGTTGAACTGAAAATGGATTTTGAAACCTAAGATGTCTTAGAGATTTACTCATGGTATAAGTTCTTCTATTCTACCTTGTCCTTTCTAATTGTTTTAAAATGCATTTATTCAATCTCTTGTTGATGAGTATATAGGATATTTATGTTTCTTTTTTTCTAAAATAGGAGCTGAGTTGGATACTTTTGCACATCAATCTTTGAGTACCTGTTTTGGCAAGTGTGTAGATTAAATTTCTAGTATTAGGACTGTAGTTCACAGTCCAAACTGAAATATGTTTTGCGAAGATATTTTTAGTGTGTGTGAACGTGCATGCTGGTGTGTGTGGAGGCCAGGGGAAAACCAGTAACTCATCTTTTTCTTTCTTTTTTTAAATATTTATTTACTTATTATGTATACAATATTCTCTCTGCAGGCCAGAAGAGGGCACCAGACCTCATTACAGATGGTTGTGAGCCACCATGTGGTTGCTGGGAATTGAACTCAGGACCTTTGGAAGAGCAGGCAATTCTCTTAACCATTGAGCCATCTCTCCAGCCCCCCATCATGAGACATCTTTAGGAACACTTTCCTCCTCCTTTGAGACAGGGTGTCTCGTTGGCCTGGAACTCACCAATTAGGCTAGACTGGCTGGCCAGTGAGCCCCAGGGATCTTCCTCTCTCCAGTTCCCCATGCTTAGACTGCAAGCATGCAGCACCACACTCAGTGTTTTTATGTGGGTTCTGGGGATCAAACTCAAGTTCAAGTGCTTTCCTGACAGAGCCACCTCCTCAGCGCTACTATGTCTAAAAGTTTTCCATAGACAGCTGAAGCTGCATGAAGTTCACTATCCGGTCTGTCATCGGTCTGCAGTAGTAATGGGGGAGTTGTTGTGGGATATTTGCACCCTGTGCGAATATGCATTGCTGTGATTGGTGTAATAAAGAGCTGAATGGCCAATGGCTAGGCAGGAGGTATAGGTGGGACTTCCAGGGACAGAGAGGACTCTGGGAAGCAGAAAGGTGGAGATGCCAGGAGATGCAGAAAAAGCAGGCTATGCAGGAGGAGAGGCAACAGCCATGAGACACATGGTATAACATAGATTAATATAAATGGGTTGATTTAAGTTATAAGAGCTAGTTAAAAACAAGCCTGAGCTATAGGCTGAGCTTTCATAATTAATTAGAAGTCTCCGTGTCATTATTTGGGGGCTGGCTGGACAGATAAAGACTTGTTACAGGGAACTGAGGCACATGATTAAACTAGCTCAGAGTTCCAGTGTGGATGGTGGATCTCGGCCCCAATAAACTGTTCTCCCGAATCCCCAACTCCTGAAGCAAGCTAATTTTAGAAATAGTTGATGTTCATTGAGCGTGAAAGTTGCTGGAGGAAGGTCAGTCAGAAACCCAGAATTGGTCACATATGATGCTTATGTAAATAATTTAGCACACAGGAGGCAAAAGATTGGGAACCATAATAGAAAAAAGACACAGCAAGAAAATACCTATAGGTCCTAATATCATCTTAATTCTATAGGATAAAAATGGAAATTGATTTAAAAGTCATAAAAGAATAACTCCCTGAATATAGATCTTCAGATGAAGAGTACATTAAGCATTGAGAGGTGTGATAAAGACGAAACTAAAACATCTTCAGCCTGTCCCCCACCCCCGAGTCAGGGAAGAGAGATGACCTATGACCTATGAGACAGAAGACGACAGAGATTGACATCACAGACTTTGGCACTGAGCAGTACAAAGCAACACAGCAAGGCCTTCAGACCCTGGGGAAGACGGTTTGGTTAGTTTGTACATCCAGCTGACTAGCATTCAGGATTATGTCCAAACGATCCTTGGATAGACATGAAAATATTGAGAAAGCTTGGCACTTATGACCGTTTCTGAACACATTAAGAAGAAATTATTGGATAAAAAAGGGAAGTATGAGGATGGGGACCAGGTGAGGTGCATGGCTCGGCAAGGATGCGCAAACACTGGAGCGTTTGTCATCCCAGAGAAAAGATATTTCCTACGTGATACGAACTGCTCCAAAGCTTCCAAAAAACCTGGAGAGTTTCCTCCTTCATCTTAGGATGCCTAAGTCAGATGTCAGTATAAGATGAGAACACAGGGGCTGGGGTCTAGTTCAGGTGTAGGGCGCTTGCCTAGTATGTGCGAAGTCCTGGGTTTGACTCCCAGTAAAAAATAAAGATGGATAGATAGATAGACAGACAGAAATTTAAACTGTCAAAGTAACCTTGCTTCTTTAAATTTAATAGTAAAACAGTTTTAAAAGTGATATTATAATCAAGTAGAGTTTATTTGAGGAACACAAGGATTATTAGATATATGGAATTTTATTAATATGAGAAAATATTACCTATTTCATTAAGGGACAGGTCCAGACCATGCTGATTTTGAATTTTCCCCGTATCCCTGGTTGACCTTGAATTTGCAATCTCCCTGTCTCGGCCTCTCAAGTGTTGGGATTATAAGCATGTGCCACCAAGTCTGGCAATGATATAAACAGTTATATCTTCAACCTGAGAAAAAGTTATTAGCAAGAAACTGAGAACAGCCTTGTGTTTAATGGTGAGATCTAGGAACACTTTCTTTTTTTCAATTTTTGATTTTTAATTTTTTTATTCACTTATTTATTTTACATCCCAGCCACAGCTTCTTCCCACATCCTCCTCTCCAGTCCACCCCACCTCCCAATCTAATCCCCCAATCCCCTTCTCTTCTGTCTCCATCCAAGAAGGGATAGGTCTCCCATGAATATCAATAAAACATGGCATATCAAGTCGCATTAAGAATAAGCACCTCCCTGTGTATTAAGGCTGGCCAAGGCGACCCAGTATGAAGAGTAGGGTCCCAAAACTCAGTAAAAGAGTTGGCGACAGTCCCTCTTCCTACTATTAGGAGTTCCATAAGAGGACCAAGATACACAACTGTCCCATACATGCAGAGTGCCTAGGTCAGTCCCATGCAGGCTCCCTAGTTGTCTGTTCAGTCTCTGTGAGCCCCCATGAGCCCAGGTTAGTTATATGAGCCTTCCTGTGGAATCTTTGACCCCTCTGACTCCTACACTCCTTTCTCCTCCTCCTCTACAAGATTCCTGAACTATGCCTGTTTGGCTGGGGTCTCTGCATCTTCCTCCATCAGTTGCTAGATAGCACCTCTCTGATAACAGTTGGGCCAGACACCAATCTGGTCACAGGAGATGGCCAGTGCAGGCTACTTATCCACTATTGCTAGGAGTCTAAGCTAGGGATCCCCCCTAGACTTCTGGGAGATTTTCCTGCACCAGGCTTCCACTCAACCCAGAAATGCCCCCCATAGCACTCCCCCTTAGCACTCTCCCCCTCTGTCTTACCCCCCCCCCAGTCCACTCACAAAATCTCTTCTGTTTCCCCTTCCCAGAGAGATCTGGGTGTCTACCCATGAACCTTCCTTGTTACCTAGTCTCTTTGGATCTGTGGATTACAGCATAGTTATCCTTTATTTTACAGTTAATATCCACTTATGAGTGAGCACATACCATGTTTGTCTTTCTTAGTCTGGGTTACCTCACTCAAGATGATTTTTTTCTAGTTCCATCCATTTGCCTTCAATTTTCCTAGTGTCTTTGTTTTTAACAGCGGAGTAATACTCCATTGTATAAATGTACCACATTTTATCCATTTCTCGGTTGAGGGGCATCTAGTTCATTTAGGAAAACTTTCTTTAAAGCAAGGAACAAAGACTCTCTGAGAGGCAGCTCAGTCCAATGAGACAGAACTCACGGTAGTTAACCACCCCATCTCTTTTTGAGACAGAGTCTCTCTATGTAGCCCTGACTGTCCTGGAACTCACTCTGTAGACCAGGCTGGCCTCAAACTCACAGAGAGGTGCTCTTTAATGGCTGACCCCCTTCTTTGGCCCCTATAATCCTGAAGATTAAATGTAGAAAAACTTCTCTCCAGGCTGGACATAGCACACATATTTAGTCAGTACTTAGGAGGCAGAGGCAGGAGAATCTCTGTGAGTTCAAGGCCATCCTGTTGTACATAGAAAGTTCCAGGCTAGTCAGGACCGCATAGTGAGACAAGTCTCAAAACAGAAAGAACTCCTGCTCATACAACCAGGAACCACTGTAATATAGCTAGGAATAAACTCAGCAAAAATTAGTGAGGCCTGTGAAGCAAAGTGTGAGTCCTTAGTGAAAACCAATGATATCCTAACATGGTATGCTCCACAGGGCTTGCTAATTCCCCACAGTAATACACAGCATGAGCCTTAGTCAACATACGTGTGAATTTCTTCAAGAAGAGATGTCAAAGAGCAGTTATGAAAGTTTGAAATATAGAAACAGTGAAGAAGGAGGGCCTACAAGGTGCTGTTAGACAGGCTGTCCGAGTCACTGAGGGGCTCTGTCATTGGTGGAAGGAGAGCAAGTCAAAAGTGAGAGTCTCCAGAGCCACGTGTACAAAGGCGCTGGGGACTGCACGTTGGCACTTGGCTCAGTAGGGGAGGGTTGCCATGCTCAGCGAATGATCGGGGACCACTGGAGATTCACATTAAAACGTGCAAAACTAGAGCCACATTTCATTTCCTATGCACGTATGGACCGAAGACTGAAGACACAAAAGTGAAAACTTAAAAAAACTGCTAAGGAAAGAAGAGATAAACTTTTATGATCTTGGGAGTTGAGAAGGCCTTCCTAAGCAAGACATAAAGCCTGGGATCTACAGAGGGTGGGGGTTCAACTCCACAAACATCAAAGTTTTCACATGACAAAAATGACATTAGTGAAGTTAAGCGAAATGGCTGGGGACTTCTTGTAGCACAGTAAAGAATTATTATAATAGATATTAAGAAGCGCCCATAAATAAATTAAAAAATAACACCGTTATTTATTTTTTAAAGAAAGGATTAAACTACAAATTCGGTGGCGGCCAGATCCCTTTTGGTAGTAAACCTTTCCCAGGGCTTCCCGTTCAGCTGCCTCAAGGGCTGCTGTCAGCGGCAAGCCACGGAAGGGCCTTGCCTGGCTGAAGAGAGTTGCTTTGCCCAAGTCACAGAGGGGCAGCTGGCACTCAGTAGCTGATAACACGCAGGATGCAAGGCCATACATAACCCTTTCCCTCAACTCAAGCTCCGGAGGTTCCGTCACACTCTGCAGCTCCCTCTGGAGTAGGGAAGGCCTTTGGGAGACTGCATGGCAGTTCATCTTTTTTCTTTGCTTCTCTTTCTTCCACAGGCATTAATGCCAAGATCTCTGTTCACAAATACTTGGATGCAAATCTCTCTGTGGCCTTTTCCTGAAGAACCCACTGGCTTAGAGGAAGTGAGGATTGTAGTAAGGGAAACAGCCTAGCCCTGCCTTTCAGTTTAATGTAATTTAGGAAGATCAAACACATACTCTATAAGTCTTCCTTTGCCTGGCCGTGGTGGCACATGCCTTTAATCCCAGCACTGGGAGGCAGAGGCAGGGAAATCTCTGAGTTCGAGGCCAGCCTGGTCTACAAAGTGAGTTCCAGGACTACACAGCCAGGGCTACACAGAGAAACCCTGTCTCACCTAAACAAGCAAAAACTGTTTCTTTTAATTATTGATGTAAAAATCATAGAACCATTTTGGTTTACATGGCAATCACTCAAAATTATCATATTCTTTGATGTAGCAGTCCTCTTAATAATCTCTCTCTCTCTCTCTCTCTCTCTCTCTCTCTCTGGTCTTATAAAGCTGTATACTAAGAGCAGTCAGGGTTTCCTGCCCTGTGGGAAGTTCAAGTTCCTCCCCTCTCCCTCCAGGTCTAGGAAGGTGAGCATCCAAACAGACTAGGATCCCAAAAAGCCAGTACATGCAGACAAAACAAGACCCAGTGCCATTGTCAATGGCTTCTCAGTCAGCCCCCCGTGTCAGCCACATTCAGAGACTCTGGTTTGATCACATGCTCGTTCAGTCCCATTAGGACTGGAGAGGGAGGAGGAGAGGGAGTGGGGGGAATGGGAGGATATGGGGAGGAGGGGAGGAAGTGGAAATTTTTGTAAACAAATAAATAAATAAATTTTAAAAAAAACAACATAAAAAACTGAAGATGGCAATTATAATACTCAAAAAAAAAAAAAAAGCTGTATACTAGCCAAGCTCTTTCAATTGAGTCCCATCCCCCAAACCCTGGTTAGGAGTAATCTGAAAGAAAATATAAAAGCTGACAATTATTAAGACCGAGTGCAGGAATTCAGGGGAAGGAACTCATTTGTTGGGGCGTTTTTTGGGTGGAAGAGGCTCCGACCGGTGGAGGGCACCACGTGGGAAGTGTGCCTGGCTGGGCTGCAGCTGCCGGCTGAGGCGCGTGGTTCCCTACCTGGCCGATGATTCCGCTGAGTTCCCCCTCCAGCATCTTCACTTGACACTCCAGCAGCTCGATGTTGCTCAGGGAGGTCTGGTACTTGTCCCTGTAGAGGTTTAGGCTCCGTTCTAGGGAGAGAATCTTGTCCCCCGCCAAGGCGAGCTGCTCTTGCGCCAGATGGAGCTTCTCCCCGGGGTTCTTATTATGGTTCCCCATTTCCTCCTCGTAGAGAATGACCTGGAAGTGTGGGAGGGGAACCGCGCTGAACCCATGCAAGAGGCCAACCAGGAAGGGAAGGCTAGGACCGTGAGAGTCCTTAGCGAGCGCCTCAAACCTAGAAGCCCCAGTGAACAGTGTAAGTACAACACAGGTCTAAGGGCCCGGCATTTAGTATCAGGTTGTTAGCGGCTGGAACACCAAATAGGCTGATATGCTTAAAGGTAGGGATGCTCTTAAAGGTAGGGATTGTGTTTTCTATTCTCTCTGACATTTGGTAGCCAGGGAATAAACACCTGCTGATTAATAGGAATAAGTTTGAGCCATTCCCTTCCCTGAAAGGACTTGGAATGCCCATGTCCTTCCTTGCCTGGGCACTCTCTAGGGATCTAATTTGGAAAGCATAGAGTCCCACATGCCCACGGTTTTGTGTCGGCAAGTTCCCAAGAGATAGTGAGGGCCATGAGCCGAAGCTCCTCTCAGATCTGCACGGTCCTTATGTAGATGGCTTTTCTAATCTGTCATCTGATGGGTATCTCGAGGATGCTCGCGAGCATCCCACTGAGTGAGGACAAGCTCTACCCAGAGGAGGCACAGCCTCACCTCTCTCACAATCTTGAGGAGACCTGATTTGAAGTTAGCAAGTGACTGTCTACAGCTGAGTGTGCTGAGTTGCATGTTGAGTTATGTGTGTTTCGAGGAGTCTGGAGGAGATTCGCCGTGGAAGGCTTCATGTGTTTCAAACTGTCCAACTCTTGACAGAAATTGGCCCGTTAATTAAGCTGGTTAAACTAACTGCCTCATCCAAGATTCCTCTTAGGAAAGGATTATTTAGTTGAAGGTGTCTGTTAGGGAGAGAGGAGAGAGGGGTGTTTGATATTCATGTGTTACAGCAGAATGGGCTGGCTCTACTCACATTCCTGTAGCGTTTCTTATTTTTAAACATGTATATGTGTGTGCTTGCACATACACATGTGTCTATATGTAGTATGTGTATGGGGCCAGCTCTGTTGGTACCCATGTAAATTGGTTTGAGGACCCCTGCAGACAGCGAATTCTGAGCATTTGCTATTTCTTTGCACACAGCCCTTTCCAGCGTGAAGCGCTTTTGGCTGCTTGCTCCTTCAGCCAGAGGAAAGATAGGGGAGACCTGTTGATGAGTGAATACCCCCGGGAGTGAATGCCAGAGGTGTGGGTTGGGGGTCCACTCTGAGGACTGTTCCACAATATCTTCCAGAGCTCCCCAGGGGTTGAACCCTGGTTGCCTAGAACAAGTAATCAATTTCATTTGACCAAACCTCCCCATGTGATGGAGGAGGGTTATCTGTCTATTGTGTTATTTTCATTGGTCAAT